CCATTGGATGCCGGGTCAGTGGTATAGAGGTTAAACGTTCACGAGCAAGACCGAAAGTCCTGGGTTCGAGTCATGCGTGAAGGAACGTGAGTCCCATGCTAGGACGAAATGACAGTCCGGTGACGCAAGGCTTTCAAATGTGATCTAGCTTAGATAAACTCGTGAATTTAACTGTTAAAAATACTACAATTTCCACACCTCTCTTTATTGAATTGAGTTACTTAGGTTCCATTAGCCATCTGATACCACTGACGTTAACGCATCACTTATGATGGACAGTCAAGTACACACATTTGTAATTTCATGATGAGTTATATTTAAAAATATCTATGTAGTTGTGGTAAACCCTTAAATCGTAACACTTCATAGGTAAAATCAGTTACCGTAAGACTCCAACTACACCTTACTATAGAAAAGCTTCCTGCCAACTGCCTCCAACCACCAAAAATCAAAATGTGGTCGGTGAGATATCGGTCGCATTCCACTTTGATCAGACTGAACAATCTCCATAAGCCCTCTGACTCTGTACATTTTCGATATTGTTTTTGCAGAACTGAACATTTAAAGATTCTAAAGCAATCGATCTTTATTTCTAGCATATATATGGTGTTAACAAGTTTCAACAATCTTGAAAATAGTAGTTCTTCCGATGAATGAGAGTTATAATTCATAAGCGAATCTCAGAGAATCTCTTGCCGTATAAGTATGTTATGATTACCAGAATTGAATTATTTTATAGATTTTCTATAAGTTTGAAGAACAAATTGCAACTGTATTCTTGTTATCTGATATTCAAAAACAAAACAAACTTGTATAAAAAAAAGTAGATATAGGGAAATGATTCGAAAAAGGGTATATGGTAAGACAAAGGAAATATAATCAATTTCACTTTGGATGTAGTTTATCTCATGGTATAAAACTAGCTGGAGATCTATTTAAAACCAGGAAGCATTGTACAACTGTTTTGTCCTAGCTTGAGACTCTTCAACAATGAATACCCAGAACTTCATAGGAAATCATAATCAACATCTTGGTTATATTGTTATCATGTAACAATACCTTAGCATTGTGGCTCATAAGCGCTGATAAATGAGTAAATTAATCAAAGTAATAGACTACTATCACAGTTCACTAAATTAAAAGTCGAAAGTACTTGGAGCTGATAAAATGATTTTCTTAGATGAAAGTATATTCTGAGCTAAGATTATTGAAAGCAGAAATTAGCTGTATACCGATTAAAGATTGAAGGACTTTTAAATAAGCAGAAAATAACCGAAATTTTCTTGTCAAGTGTGTAGTACTGTGGTGTGGGTTACTTATATCCACACAAGTAATATATAACGGTGGTCAGGCATCGAATATATTTCAGTAGAAGGTCGATGAGGAAAGAACAGAAACGAGACGCAATCGGTATGAAAATGTATGAACAATGAAATATGAAACAGTGAACTGATGTTTGCAACAGGAACAGTCAAGTTTGAGACAATGGATTGATATTTTGCAAATTATTGATTTACTATATGGTTCGCAGATTTTATTGAGATGTTGCACAGTTAAGGGCTCAAGCCCTCACAGCCTCAATTTCTTTGGAACATGCAATAACTCGGCATTTTATTGAGATGCTCTGTAATTTCGTGTCACATACATTCGATTGTCCCCACTGGTGTTCTTGTTCACTACAGTACTACATAAAATGACGGAATAATGAAATGATCAATACTTTAAAAACGATTACAACATAAATCATACTTGAATCATCTTTGGTTAATAGCAATTTTAACATGTCGAAAAAGTGGAGTAATCATATTATGACGAACCGTTGAAAGCTAGGTAACGTGGAACAGTTAATTAGTTGAAGTCTAGATCTCCTTCGTGATCCAATCCTACGCGGTAATATTACATCTTCATATAACCAAATCTCATACATTTAATTATCCAAATTCTAGAACTTTTTGAAGTATTTATGAACAGTGAATACATCGCCTTATACATTGATTACTTAAGAATCTTCTAGTAAATACCAATATGTCTTTTATTCTCACTCTGTTCATTATCCAATGAATTCATGGATATCTTAAATTTTATTTATAGCTAAGACATTACGTAGAATGATTTCTATTTAAGGAAATAGACTGTGCCCTAGCCAATATCTCAGCTTACATGTCGTCATCTAAGTCACAAAGAACAAATATATGAATATCTGTTATATGTATACATTATAATTGAGTTTGGAAACCATACATTCTTACTTCAATAGTTTTCTCATTCATATAGTGGGCCTAATATACCATAGGAAGTATATATCACAATAGGACAAGACAGTAGGATATAAGACTATAGACAAATTTTATTTAATGGTTTCTGAAAAATAACGGTTTTATTTACGATCAACTAACTAAAATCTTTCTGTGAGAACAAAGAGAAAAAACATTCCATTAAATCTTCTTTTTTTAACTATAGCGAAACACAATAGTGTATGACCTTATTAAAAGCTTGTTGAAAACACCAAATGTTCACTTGTATTCAATTGATTATGAATTTATTCAGAAAAAACAAAGATAATTCATTCATCACTGAAGAATCATTGTTTTATAATACTTCTAGGTAAACCATAAACATTAAGATAGAAAAAGAGTTGGAAAGTTCCGAAGAAATATGTTTAACATTTAGTTCCTGTGAAAAAAGAAACTTCAGTAAGATCCTATTGATTCAATTGGTTCGGAAAAAAATGATAAATATCTTTGACGCAATCAATGTTGTAATTACAGAGTAGACTAGTTTAACTAGATTGTGAAGATGATTGAGATATTACTGATATCAATACAAATCATACTGGCTTATAGTCTAATAAGCACAATCAAATTCTTGTTTTCTGAAATAAACAATAAATGTTTACGGTCAGTTTTAACATGTGTTCATAAATGTTTAAAATACAATGATCGGTTGTTTGAATACCTCAATATACAACCTTATGACGTGCACAACAGGAAAACAGAATGATACTAGTTGCTCCATTAATAGTAAGGTTTGGGAATATTCTATATACCAACAAATTTACCTTATTGTGCTTTGAAAATCAACCTTAAATACTTCAAAAGTATTTTGAATTTTCCTTAATAACAGAATAAACAATAATGTCAAAATTATCTGGTTGATATATACATGAATAAATTAACTGGACAATTTTTATGTCAATGCTTCAATAATCTTGTTATAATTTGTCGTTTGAATGCTTATTGTCTTGGCTCTTTTAATGCTACTTTTTGTATCTGGTCGTCGATAATTGTTATGTCGGAAACGCTTACCACTTATACTCGGAACGAGGGACCTCTGTAATTCCTACGACGCGAAAGTAAGAACACAAAGACTGGTATAAGTGATGATTTATTAACCCCAAAACACGTCGACGACGACGACTCTAGTAGAAAATACACTCATTTATATATTGATTGTACACCCATTTCGATTAATAATTATAGTGTAATCACATATGTGAAAAATACTTAGAGTTATAACAAATCACAGACTGAGCATAGTTCATGTTAATGGAATACAAGAATATCGCATATTACACAGAATAAAGTATCATGCGAGAAAAGAAAAGAAATAATACATTGAGTAATCATTACATTGAATCAAAACGGAATTAATCATCGACTAAACTCTTAATGAGTAAATCAATCAGAAATTGACTTTTCTTTCCATCATATCAGATCTTCCGATGAACTCTTTCACACTGATCCCTCTGAAGTTGCAGAAAACATTTAAGATCATACAGCGAGATCAAAATTAGAGTATAGCAGATATCTCGTTGCCAGTTAGTATGACTAACGACCAAGATTTGGAGAAAAACGACGACTGTTATCCGCATTACTTTATCTCACCAAGTGGTAAGAATATCAGAAAATAGATAGCCCGTAATTGTGATCAATTATTATTTTTAGAAAGCATTTATGTATATTTTAATTAACAATGATGATGAAAAAGTGATTAAACAATTCATGCTGATTAGTTCCATAGAAGAGTAAACTGTCCAGTGGGATTACCCAGTCCACATCATAGTAATAATCAAAACTTATAATAGAATCACTGTAAACTCATCTAATAGAGACCTGAGATAATGATCGCTAATTAAACTACCTCCTGTCAATAACACTCAACTATTTGTAGGATATAGTTGCAATCCTTTCATTTGTGAAATATTTCTTAAGGACTTTTTGGTTTATACGCTAGTATACGTAAATAATCGGAAGCCGATGCTAATCTGATTTTTCACAATTGTCTTATTAGATCTCGTTTAACTGTCGGTAGTCACATGTCACCACTGGTCACCACTCGTCAGTCTGCGGTCACTCTGAGGACCGAACGTGTAGCCCACTGTTGGCGAATCAGGGAGGATGGAGAATGAGTAACCTTCGTGGCATTAACCACCACACCGAGTGGTTGTGATGACAGGTAGTATGAATTTGGGAGGTGAGAATGGAGTGTGGAAGATATGAAACGCTTCACAATTTTGTGCATGGGCCATGCTAATCTTCTCTGTATTGTTCCATTTTCAGTATATGTACCGCCAAAGCGAGTAGTGACATTTGACTGAACTGTCGAGAGTATTCTCATGAAAAAGGCTTATTTCTTTCTTTTTTTTAATTCAATTGATATTTACCTACTCATTTTACTTTCTTGACACGCTCTTTTTGTCTACAATCCCATTAATTAATTCTGATTGTATTCAGAAGTCTACAGTTAGTGTTACAAATCTCATTTAAATGGGATAAACCTATTTTATGAAGTTTATATTTTCTGAATACGAATTGGCTAGCATATTCAATGTGAATGATGACCACTGGTAAATATATTACTACGACGTTCATTGAAATACTAATAAAGACAAGAATCTTAGAAGAATGATACGACTATCGCATGATTAATCAATATTTTCCTAACATCAATCTACTGGTCTCTTGCTAATCAAATAAAATAAAACTTAATAAAACAATAGAATGCTATCATCATCATCATCATCATCATCATCATCATCATCATCATCATCATCATCATCATCATCATCATCATCATCATCATCATCATCATCATCATCATCATCATCATCATCATCATCATCATCATCATCATCATCATCATCATCATCATCATCATCATCATCATCATCATCATCATCATCATCATCATCATCATCATCATCATCATCATCATCATCATCATCATCATCATCATCATCATCATCATCATCATCATCATCATCATCATCATCATCATCATCATCATCATCATCATCATCATCATCATCATCATCATCATCATCATCATCATCATCATCATCATCATCATCATCATCATCATCATCATCATCATCATCATCATCATCATCATCATCATCATCATCATCATCATCATCATCATCATCATCATCATCATCATCATCATCATCATCATCATCATCATCATCATCATCATCATCATCATCATCATCATCATCATCATCATCATCATCATCATCATCATCATCATCATCATCATCATCATCATCATCATCATCATCATCATCATCATCATCATCATCATCATCATCATCATCATCATCATCATCATCATCATCATCATCATCATCATCATCATCATCATCATCATCATCATCATCATCATCATCATCATCATCATCATCATCATCATCATCATCATCATCATCATCATCATCATCATCATCATCATCATCATCATCATCATCATCATCATCATCATCATCATCATCATCATCATCATCATCATCATCATCATCATCATCATCATCATCATCATCATCATCATCATCATCATCATCATCATCATCATCATCATCATCATCATCATCATCATCATCATCATCATCATCATCATCATCATCATCATCATCATCATCATCATCATCATCATCATCATCATCATCATCATCATCATCATCATCATCATCATCATCATCATCATTATGTTGGATCTTTCAAAATATCTGTCAATCTGTTTATAAAAGCTTTCATAGAAATAGCCTACCAATTAGTTATGTCATGCATTCATTACTGATTCTAATTAATAGACAAAAATTTCTTGAAATCGTACAAATTATCAATTATAATTGTAAAACCATTAAATGAGTAGTAATATTCAAAATAACATCATTATTTTTGGTAATTTAACATTCCACTTACTCGGTCAACATGGTTGAACTCTTGTGTGCACTACTTTGATGTTTATTATCTATAAATCAATGTTTTTTGTTGTTGTTGTTTGTTTGTTTGTTTAACTGGGTAGAGGTATGTAAGAATCGATTTTGGTGTAGCTATTGTAAATGTAAATGAAAACATCCTCTACATATCCAGATAAACACATACACGCATATTCGGAGAAAGAGATGCACATTGCTCATCTTGATTTCGATTGGATGATTTGAATAATAGTGAAGAGATAACATGAAAAAAAATTTTTTTAATTTTTATGTAACTATAAACTTAAAGAATAAAATAAGATGCACATAAATTTGTTAAGTAGGCCTTTTTTCTTTTTCTTTTTTTGTTGTTTCGTATCTTTGATAGTGAACTCAACAACTATTTGTTGTATGAAAGTAAAGTAATTCATTTCAATACAATACGGATTATTAGAACTAGTACTACTAGTACCACTATTACTACTGCCTTTGGCAACTATTCAATTTATAAAAGAGCATTCACAATCAGATATCAGAATATCAGAATAAAAGAACTAAAATAAAAAATAGGAATTTATTGAATCAACAAGATGGAAAATCGTCGTGCATTAATGAAATCTACTGATATGCAAGGACCATTACAGAAAATTGTTGTAGACACATGTGTGGTAGCTACGGAACAATATGATGAAGAAAGAGATATTGCAGCTTATGTTAAGAAACATATGGATAAATATGATGGTGGTGTTTGGCATTGTGTGTTAGGCAAGGATTTCGGATGGTAAGTCTTAGTACAGTGATAATCAATAAAATGTTTTTTATTAACTATGTCCAAACTTGGTTTTTATTTTCTTGAGGCAGCACTTAAACCTTTTTTCTCTGTGAAATGTTAGCTTAGGATTTGCAAGTTCCAAAGATTACACAACTTTGCAGAAAATACAGTGTTCTTTAATTAATCTTACACTGTGCACTGTTTTGTACATATTAAGGTATTCTGTTATGTCTTGTGACCTGTTAATATATCATAAGATAATATCGTCAATTAGAGACATCGACTTATACGACCAGACCAATAACGCATAAAATTGTGCAAGCCGCCTATAGTTCTTTTTGATCCTTTGAGATAGAAGCATCTCGGTTAACCCATCCGGTCCATTCCACACAGTAAATATCAGCCTTCGTTATATGAATCATACATTTTCAGATATACTGGGTTTATATACAAACAAACCAGACCGCGTCATACCATAAAACAGAAAATAATAATGAAACAAAATCAAGCCAAAAAGTGGCTGTGGGTGTGGAAGACTGAAGCTAATAACTTGGGAATAATAGTAGTCAACAGGTCGAACAGAAGCTTATAATAAAATGAATATGAATACACATATAATACAGTTGCCTAATGGTTCTACAAATAAGAATACATATAATAACAGTGCATACATAGATTTTACCAGTTACCACTCATTATTCTTCGTCCGGATATAACATATTCCTTTCCCAAAAATTATAATCTGATAACATAGAGGTGGAAATTTTAGGATTTGTTATCAATATATGGTTATATTTAGTAGCACATACATGGAAGGGTAGATCTACTGATATTAATCTTTATAATGTTATTAACATTTTATATACAGTAAAAGATTTATCAAACTTCTATCTAAGATATACATTTACTACTTAAAATTACCGCTTCATATCCCCGTTATATTTGACTAGACCATTAAATGTTTGTTTATTAGATTTTAATTCATAAATCCCCCCATTTCTGTCATGTTTTTTCATAATGACATTCATTAATTTGTAATAAATCGTAGATATATAGTCATTAAGTTCACTTGGTATTGTTTGGCTTGTATCTTCCCATTGAGGTTTAAGACTGCAATTTATCAGTTTGTTATTGGCATATGTGCATATTGTGCGTATGCCTCGATATTGCCTTAGTTCAGAAGCTTTTTGTAAGCAATGATGGATAGTGGCTAGCAGTGGAATCCAGGACGCGCGTTTCGTCCTAGTTGGGACTCGTCAGCCGTATGTACCTGCATCTCAGATTTGATGTTCACTCTGGGACTCGAACCCAGTTCCATTCACTTCAAACGCCATCGCGTTATCCACTCAGCTACTGAGTCCTGGTAGCCACTTTCTTGTGCGATGGGGTGAATTTAAATTCACTCGGTATTGTTTGGTTTGTATCTTCCCATTGAGGTTTAAGACTGTAATTAATCAGTCTGTCATTAAGTATGAGATAAAAGTTTGCAACAGATTTATTTATCTACTTTCCACTTATGTTTAATAGTTTATTAATGAAGTCTGATTATCACCAGTTGACATTAAAGAATACTATGATACTATGAATATTATGATTCACTACAAGTAACAAAACTGTTGATTTACAATAATGAAGTAATACTCATCGAGTGGATACGTTACGTAATAATTATATAATGACATCGATTATAAATTAAATGTTCATCTGTTAAAAACGTTTTTCATCGATTATTTATCATGCTTAGTTGAAATTTAATCATTAAACTGAGGTATTCTTTTAATTTACCCGACACGGATTAGCTCCACTGGTCACGACTTCTCACTAGAACTCCGAGAATTCCCTCAAGAAGCTAGTCACTAGTGAGCACATGTTAGTTATCAGTATGGGGGTTGTGGAGATTGTTAAGTTTTTGGTTGAGATCATGAATTAATTGATGTTAGACCACCGTCGGAAACCTGGAAGCACTGGACGGCCGTTTCGTCCTAGTATGAGACTCCTCAGCAGTGCGCATCCACGATCCCGCACCCCGCGGGATCCGAACCCAGGATCTAGTGGCTTCGCGCCTGAGCGCTTAACCATTAGACCACTGAGCCGGCATCCAATGGTGTTAGTGTCTAACATCAACCAATCCACGAAATTGCGCGACCACCTTCCATTGTACTGAGGTAGATACCTGTCTCTACCCGACACGGATTAGCTCCACTGGTCACGACTTCTCACTAGAACTCCGAGAATAATAATAGTAGTGATACTGTAGATTCTGTAATGATTTTGTTGTCCGTAATAACAATCAAGTATTAATAACGATACTATTCATTTCAATTAATAAAACTTTTTTGATTAATATGAGAAAGGGTGTTTTTGTGAATGTCATAGTAATTTCAGTAGTTGACATGAATTTGGACTGCTGAAAAGTCCCATAATAGGACGAAGCGGCCGTCCAGTGCTTCCAGGTTTTCCATGGTGGTTGGTCTAGCTTCAATTATTGAAAACACGTTTTGAATAAATTTTGTTCTTATTGTTGAAAAAAACAAATTTTTCAGTTTTTTTCACGTAATTAACAAAACTAGCTATTGAATTGAATGCTTAACTTGGAAATAACTGCTTAAACATTAGGTAGAGTAAAAGTTAGTAATGGGTATGGAATTGTATGTACTGTATTTCTGAATAAATTACACAATGAATATATATATATATATATATATATATATATATATATATATATATATATATATATATATATATATATATATTGCTTTAATATGAAGTTGGTTTTCTATATCGATTGTTGTATGACAATAATCATCCATTTCCATTTTTCAATAAAAAAAAGCAATATCTGGTATTTTCATCCACATTCTTTTCGTTTACTTAATGTGTTAGGGCTTCACAAAAAGGCAATTTTAATGAGGGCTTCATCTTAATCGTCTATAATAAATTATATATTGTCTTATATAAAAACTGACTTAGTATATCCCAACTTATCGAATGAAAAGAAAATAGAAAGGTGAAAGTTAGAGCTTAAAATGAAAGTCTCAATGGGAATTGTACACTTATATGCAGCATTAACTCACTAAATGAACGGAGAACTTCTAGATATTGTACACATAATAAATAGTGTACTACATATATGCTAAAAATCCTATCTTCAATCGTTTGTTTGAATCACTTATAAAAGTTAAATGAGACAACAAACAATTGATTAAGTATCAGTAAAGGGTTGTGGAGATAGTTGAGCTTAGATTGATATCATGAATGAATCAATGTTAGACCACCATTGAAAACCTAGAATCTCTAGGAGGCCGTTTCGTCCTAGTATGGGACTTCTCAGCAGTGCACATCAACGATTGTGCGTGTGTGATCCGAACCCAGTACCTTCAGCATCGCGCGCAAACGCTTATCCTCTAGACCACTGGATCGACCCTGGGTTCGAAGCCCACATGCGAGAGCATGGGTGCACATTACTGGGGAATCCTATACTAGGATGAAACGGCCGTCCAGTGCTTCCAGATTTTCAATATTGGTCTAACATTGATCTATTCATGATAAGAATAAATTAAGTGTTCATTGCGCCCAAAATGCAGCTAATCTATGGTGTATTTTGCTTTACTTATTAGATCACAGTAATATCTAGTGGACTGAATATAATCCTTTTTTTAATCTAATTGTTTTGTAGATTATTTGACGACAAACTATCTAAAAACTCTATTCTTTTAACAAAGTAAACGTTAGACAGCCCTGTATAAAACAAGCATTATACTACAGAATGATAGCTAATTTTATTATCATCCATTTACTGTGACATTCAAAAGTAAAGAACAAATATTATTTACCAATTTTATTATCTCTTTCCACGTTTGTCAATAATCTGCACTAAGAAGAAACAAATAATTTGCATATCGCTCAATGTCAAGTCCCATCAACCAATTCAGGTCTACATAAAACTATTAAGACATTTTCTAGAGCATTTCAGGCTGTTCGAGAAAAACTCAAACCACATATTGACTAAAACATTTGTTGATACATCAGTAAATAAAAACTGCTTGTGATTGGCTGTTATTGTTTAGGGATAAAATTAAACGCTATCAATTAGACATTCAGTTTTCTATCACTGAATTTAACACAAAACTTCAGAGCAGTAAAATCACTGACGTCTAACTGCTTAACATATTTTTATC